CTAAAAATATATAGAAAAAAAAATTAGCTGGGCATGGTGGTGCTTGCCTGTAGTCCCAGCTACTCGGGAAGCTGAGGCAGTAGAATTGCTTGAGCCCAGAAGTTTGAGGTTGCTGTGAGCAAGGTTGATGCCATGGCACTCTAGCCCAGGCAACAGAGTGAGACTCTGGCTCAAAAAAAAAAAAAATAAAAGATACACATACATCTTTGTTTTCAAAACTATAAACAGAAGAAGCTGGCCATGTGCCTTATTATAGATGAAAAGAAAGACCTAGTACTAAAAAACATTTTTTGATTATAGATGATAGCCTTCTAGGTAGTATGCAAAGCTTACTACATAGATCACAAAATGGAAATGAAAATGTATGGAAACTCCAGGCTGTGCTTTCAATGGTCAAATTGCAAACAGAGCAAATCTATTCTCAGTCTTGGTAACAGTATTAGAATATATGTGATAATAAATTTCTTCCTGTTTCTCATGAGTGAAATTAAATATTTGCTGGTGACATTTCAGGTTAAGTAATTCTTTTATCTCTTCATAATTCTTTTATCTCTTTACCTATTATCAACCAGTCCACATTTGATTGCATAACATTATGAGATAGTCTATAATCATCAATTCTGGATATTACTTTATAGCTAAAGTACTTATGCTAAAAATATTCTGTGATTTTATAAACCATAATGCAATGATAAAAACATAGGAAAAGATACAAGAGTTTGTTATTCTACTGAAAACAGTGTATACTACTAACAATGTATGCACAAAAACATAAACTTCTACCTTTTGGAAGGTACAAATAACACAGGATAATAATTTGGAAGGTATAACTCTCAAGTTATTTTAATCAATTGCCATATTTTTTCTTATTGTAAATGACCCACATGCGATACACTTTGGCATAAAATTTCAGTTATGAAAAAGATTTTTTACCTTCCACTTTGCTATTTTTTAACAAGACTGGGCACAAATTATATGCTACATAGTTTTAGTATTGTGGTATTATTATTATTCCTTCCTTTAGATAGAAATTTCATATTTTTACTACTGTTTGAGGTAAATTTCAGGGAGGCATTCTTTACTGAAGACACATCAGAACGGTAAAGTGGTAAAATAAACATAGCTTATTCAACTTTTGAAATGAGCAAAAATTGATAAATATCAACTAACTTCTATATAGAAAATAGTAGCTAATTATCCAGCACACACTTTCTAATAATAATAATGGTAATAATGATGTGCACACTACTTTTATTGGTCAACATTCTTTAAAGTAACAGAAGCTACTCTGAATTAACCTAACCCCAAAGGTAGAATTTATTGTAAGGTTACAGTTATGTCGGCTGCATCAAAAAAGAGACTAGAACCAGAAATAGACAGCTGTCAGGAACTAAGAATTCATCTCTCCTTGTCACTCTGCTTTATTTGTCTTTTGGCAGGCTGACTTTCCTCTGCTTCTCCACCCATATACCGCATAAAGCTACCACTCAGCTCCCAAAATACATAAATACAGTTTTACCTGTTATTTGATCTCAACTCCTCACCAAGAGAATCCAGTTGGCCTAGACTGAATCAGGTGTACACCAGGAAGCCAAAAACCTGGGCCAAGGCCTAGGGGTTAACTGTGTAATATAAACATGACTGCCAGTGAGCCCACCCACATGAATGGGCCAGGTGGGCACTGGCATATTCTTACAAGGGAAATAGTCACTGAGCTGGAAAGAAATCCCCAAAAGTATCAACTGTCATATTTTGCTCTCAAAATTATTTCATTTACACACAATCTTTTTCATAAGAGGATCCAGTGCCTATATCACTCCTACTTAATATCTAATAGTGATAGTTCTTACTGGAAGGCTAGGATATTCCAAACTATTCTATTCATGATGTCATTATGCTAACAAATATATAACTTCTACTGACTTTAGCTCTTTCATCACTGACCATAAAGTACATCCCAGAAGATTAGGCTGAGATAATGCCAGTGGGACTTTGATGAACAAATGGCTTCTGAATTCAAAGCCATACAGAACTTCATAAAAACTCTAGCAAAAAAAAAAAAAATCATGAAAACTGCCCAATTAAAGGCCATTTTTGTCAAAAAATGGAAAGGTCATATAGTCCTATCCCATAATTTAGCCAGACAACTGAACTTACAGAATGTCAGAGTTTTACCATATTGTATTGTTTTTTCTTTTATTTTTTAAAATTTCTGATCTGATAGTTTCTCTTCTGCCAGTGAAAAAGCCAAAAAAAACCTGAATAATCAATGTAATATTCTTGTACTATTACAATGTAATATTACAATGTAATATTACAATGTATATTACAATGTAATATTACAATGTATATTACAATGTAATATTACAATGTATATTACAATGTAATATTCTTGAAAAAATGTATTTTTGCACATTAATGAGTTGCTCAAAGAGATTTTTATAAATAATCTATTTATTATAGACTGGAGGGAAACTATAGGACAGGATATGGCTCTTATTTTTTCTGTATATTAGTTGACCAATTAATTTCTTTCTCTTTATAGTAGAGACGGGGTCTTGCTCTTGCTCAGGCTGGTTTCGAACTCCTGACCTCGAGTGATCCTCCCGCCGCAGCCTCCCAAGTGCTAGGATTACAGGCATGAGCCACCGCGCCCGGCCAGGATATGGCTCTTGTCCTATAACCTTAAGTGAAGCCAAATGCCAGGTCTGGCCAATGATAGTCTATGGGTTTGAATCTTCAGTTGAATCTAGAATAACCCTGCGGTGGGTGTTTCGAGTACCATATTATGGGAACTAAATGAGTTAGTACATGTAAAGTGCTTAAACAGTGTCTGGCACATAATAACAACTCAATAAATGTTAGCTATTTTTGCACACAGTCAGAAAGTGGCAAAGTAGGAATATGAACTTAGGCATAGCTGATTCCAGATCCTGTGCTCTTAACCATTACACTTTGCTTTTTCCTATATAGAATGAATTCCCTATTTTCCCCTCTAAACCTGCTCTCAAAAAAAGGATTTTTATATCAGATGTGTACTTCTGGTAAAAAAAATGTGACTTTATTACTTGCTCATGGATACCCACATTTATAAGCCTGATCTTAGTGTCTGTTCCCAAACCTCTTAACACCAGGTATAACTGCTATTATAATTACCTGAGGAAAAGATGATGAGCTATGAATACAAAGAATTTTTCCCCTCTAGGGAAATTAAGTAGAACATTTTGAAAAGATTTTTAAAAAGGGAAGTCACTAAAAAGTGTTTTGTCATTGAAGTGGGTGTAGGTGAGAAAAGTATAAAAGATTGGGGGGGGAGAATCATGATCTCGGATTACTTCACTATCTTTTAGATCCTGGCCCACTTTAAAGATACCAAAATTGAAACTCAGTAAGCTTGACATGAAACTCTAATCAGTACAGTATCTTTCCCTCCCTCCCTCCACTCCACCCCACCCCACCCCATCTATATCAAAAGACTTAGCAAATAAATGTACCAAAATCATTTAAGTTAAACAAAATATTTTTCCTCTCTCCCTGCCCCCATATATGTATAATCTTTATGAGTTCAATATAATTTTTATGAAGGGTGGAGAACCTGCAGCCTGGATCTTTCCCCATGTGGGGAACCTGCTGCCTTTTGACTGAATCCAAATTTTATAGAACAAATCCTTTTAATAAAGGGATTTCTTCTGTGAAGTTAGGATTCAGTCGAGGGACTGCACTTGGGGATCTGGAGGGCCACGTGTAGCTTTGAGGCCTTATGTTTTGCACTCTCACGAAGTCAGGAAAGATACAGAGAAGGGGACATGAGCTAGATTCTCCTTGAATCCAGTTACGCATATCCAGGTAAGTATTGGGCATTTGGGGTTCTGTCCTACAGGCTCCTCAAGCTCAAAACAACCGGAATTGACTTCTGCAAACCTTGCTTTTTTCCCTCTTTAAAATTAACTGGGAGAATAATTTGTTCAGGATCTACAGAGCCACCAAAGCAACACACCAGTCTGGCTGTTTTCCTTCTCCTTATACTCTCATGCTAAGGCTCTCGTGGCCAAGTCTTATTGATTCCACCTTCATGATGTTTTTATTTTCATTCTTTTCTTACGTATTCCCAGACTCTCATTCCTTTCTTGGATTACTGAAGTCATTTTCTTCAAGTCTGTCATTCTCCATACCCCCAAATCACCCTTACTGTCACTGCTATCATGATCTTCTGAAGATGTTATTATGTTTTGCTCCTTAAAGCCCTGTTTGCTCAATTTTCTCTCAGTTAAAGTCTACCTTCCATAGTCTGCCTTATAAGGCCCGTGAGGATCCAGACCATACTTCTTTCTTTGGTCTCTGTTGCTGCCATTCAGCAGCCTCAGGGTTAGAGGCTGACGGCCTCACCCTTTACATTGCTATCTGAAGCCATAGGAACGGGGGCGAGAGGGGTTCAAGGAGAAGTTGGACAATCATGTCAGAGAGCTCTGGTAAGATGGAAAATATTCCACTGGATTCAGCAATTTTGAGGCTACCAGAATCCTCCGGCAGGGAGGGGTTTCTGTGGGGTGCGGGATGGGAGGGTGAAGGGGGTAGGGGAAAACAGAACAATCTGGAACAGACCCCTCCTCAGGGGGTGGGCGTACGCCACGCAAATTCCTCACGGTGCCCCATAAGGTGTCCTCCAACTTCCAGGCAAGTTCCAGCTCTTCGGAAACCCTGGTGTCCACGTCCCCCCTCAGCTTAGACCTCAACGCCTCCCTCCACGCCAGCAAACGCCTGACAGGTCCTCACAACCCCGCACGAGGGGCCTCGCCTCCCAAGCCCTCTCCCTGATGCTCCCTGAGAAAACTAAAAACCCGTCATCTCGGGTCACCGAAGTTTTGTCCGTACCTTCCACGGCTTTCTAATTATCTGTGGTGCTTCTGGCTCAACTCAGCCAGGGAGCCAGACCTGACCAAGTCGAGGAAAGCTGAGCGAGCGACTGACGAGGCGCGCCGCGCCTCACGCGCCGCCTGTGAGGCGGCGGCAACTACAACTCCCATGGGGCAGCGGGGCCGCGGCGCCCACGAGTCCCGGCAGCCTTTGCGAGCCCGAACCGGTCCGGGCAGTACCGGCAGGCGCCACGTGAGAGGCGCGGGAATGTTCGTGGAAGCCGCGGAGAAGCGGCGGCCTCTCCGGATGGCGGCGTGCGAAGAGGCGCCCGCGGTCCCGCCGGGGCAGGTGGATGTCGCGCGCGGCCTAGAAAACCTGCCCGTGAGCGCGTGGCCCCCGGGGGCCGGGCCCGGGCCCTTCCAGGTAGGGGCGCGGCTCCCCGACGTGGCCGTCCTTCTGGGTCTGACTGTTATATGACCTTAGCAAGGTCACTGCCCTCCTCCGTCTGTGGACTGGCAGATCCCCAAGGCGCAAAACAGAGGCTTCGGGAGGTCCCTCCGAAAGGGGCCCTAAAAGCCGGGCTGTTTGTCCAGGTTCTGTCCTCACAACTCAACGAGGGATGCGGAGCAAATCTCCCACCTGTCTGGCCTCAGGTGTCTCATTTGTAAAATAATCTGCTCCTTTGAATGGAGTGGCAGCCTAGTGTCATGGTTAAAAGCCTCCGCCACGTGGCCCTTCTGGATCTTTCCCACGTGAGGAACCTGCTGCCTTTCGACTGAATCCGAATTTTATAGAACGAATCCTTTTAACGAGGGGATTTCTTCTGTGAAGTTTGGATTCGGTTGAGGGGCCGCACTTGGGGATCTGGAGGGCCATGTGTGCTCCTGGGCAAATACAAATTAGCTTTGGTTAAAGTTTTAGCGTCCTCCTGTGTACAGTTTAAATAATAGAAATAATAGTGCCTCTCTTGAGTATGGCTTTAAGAACTTTATGTTCACTACTAGTTCCCAAAGCCCTTTCTTCTCTTTCTCATCCCTCTAACATTGTCTTAAAAGTTGCGGAAGAAATAGGCAATGACCCAAAAAGGGACGGGGGAAAGAAAACAAGAATTTTGAAATGGTAAGAGCACTGGACTTAGAGGTCGCAGAGCTAAGTCCAGGGCTTAGCCATTTCAGCTTCTTCATCTGAAAAATGAGAACCATAATTTAAAAATGTATAGCCCCTTTCACATCTATTATCAGTATTGAACTCTATCTGCCCGTTCTTCTTCCTACAGTTGTTGCGAGGATCAAATAAGATCGTAGATTTAATAGTTTTCAAAGAGTAGAGCGAGATACTAATGTCAAAAATGGTTTTTATTCCTTAAACTACCTTTGGCAGTTTATGGTTAATAATATGGTTGGCTGGCCCAGTTTTAAACACTGGTCCCTCAAAACTTATTCAAAACCAAGCATTGCTGAATTCCTGGCCAAAAATACTGATACATCTTTACTTTATTGAACAAATAATTGAGTGCTGTGTTAGGCTCAACCTAGAAGATAAAATGGTGAAGACACATATTAAGGATATAGAAAAACTATATTGAGCTTGAGCCCCTGAGCTTACATGAAGATATAGAAAACACTTGGTTGCTACCTTGTTTTTTCTTACCTACAGGTATCTAACATAAACATAAAATGCCAATGTTCTAGTCCATTCTTAACTAAATCCAACAAATATTTACTGAGAACTAAACATATGTAAGGTAGTGGATTGGATTGCAGAGAATATAATGAATAAAAAAACACATGCTCTGCCCTCAAAGTGTTTACAACTGTGTCATCTTATGATTAATTTTAACTAAGTATCCAGTGCTATTACACAAAACAATTGTGTGTGAATTCTGTAAACCTATTTCCAATCTTGAGTCATATTTTTCTTTGCCATATATAAGAACAATGTGTAAAACTGTCTGCCTAATGTATTTGTTTATATTAAATCACTTCATTTTAAATATTAAATAAACTTATTTAAAACAAATCAAGTTATATACGTATCACCTTTAAAATCATCGTAATCATCAGTGTTCACAAAATCCTGTAGTTTGGTGTGCTTGCTATATTTGCAAAATGTACATTAAAATAAATGTCTATTTTAAAAAGCAGGGAGAGAGGTGGCAAGAGAAAGCATTATAATTGATCCTCAGACCTACAGTTGATGGGCATAAATGAAAATCAGGAGATTAAAACTCAATCCCACAGTATTCTAGCTACCTGTGTATATGCACAGCTCTGGGCAGAATTAAAGAAAGTAGACAGGATTCCTTCCTAAAGGGGCTTATAGTCTTTCTTACCAAGAAGATAAAACATGCTTGAAATATTTAAATGACAAGCCTAAGAATGCTTTCAACTAGTTTTCTTCCATATGTTCATGGATCATAGAACCAGTCTTACAAAAGGTCAAAACAGATTGCTTGCTCCAAACCCCGCCTTCACAGACATATGCACACATAGGAATTAAGGCATGAAAAACTAAAGATAAAAATAACTGTATCTGGTTTGCTTTTGGCTACTGTATGAAAAGGCAAAAAGAACATTCAAATGTTCATCTTAGAAACAAGCATATCATAATATCATCAGTATTGAAAATGAAGTAGAAAATAATTGATTTTCTTAAGAGTTGCATCTAACCATTTTCAGATTTCTGAAACCAGCTTTGAACATTATTTTTAAGATCTCAAATGGGCCCTGATGAGAATTATCAGGCTTTCTAATAGCTGCTTGATCAAAAACAAACTTATGAGGCTGGAGGCCAAGTACAAAGATTCTGGTAGCTAGGGTTTCAGCACAACCAAAAAGGGAATGAAGATCTTCCCAACACTTACTTAAAATTCAGAATGGCCCGGGTTTTAAACCTAGAATATTATACATTCTCCTGCTTCAGTTTCTGGGACTTTGATACAGAATATGACTCAGACAAGTCATATTTCCAATTAAAGGTTATCAAGAGGTACAATCAAAAAATACTTTCTGAGCACCTGCTCTGTGCCTAGACTATGGAGAGGAACATCACCCCATCACCATGCCGCACCCCAAACCTCATGACCATGCCTCTCCTTGAGACATGTTTCTTAGAAAGACAAGACCTACTCATTCAACACAGTTAGACAGCCTACACTCTATGGCATTTGGATTCCAAAGTTTGCTTTTTGGATAACCATAGTTTATAAAAAATTTTTCTCAAGTTTTCTGTTAAAAGACTTGAAATCTTCACCCAGCGTATCAAGGATCTATTTTCTAGTACATTATTTTGCACTGATCATTTTGCATTTGTTCCCCACTCTTGCATGACCAATTCTGTGTTTTGATACATACCAAGAAAAAGTAAAGCTTATGTTGTGACAAGGTAAGAATCCCATTCTTCGTGTCCTCCTTTATATTTTTCTTGCTGGTTTCTAAATCCCGGCACATGCATATAACAGGCAATAAGATAATATTTGATGATGAAAGAAGTTTGGACTGGATCAGCTGTTAGCTTATATCCACCTGAGATGGATTAGTAATGGAGGACAGGAATCTAATCATGTGATTTCCTAGACACAGTTTTGGTTTGAATATATTTGAACCTGGGAAGTTTAACTCCGGAAGCTGTTTTCTTTGCCACCCTACTATGTACTTCCTACACAATTCTTATGAAACACTTAAGTGCTTGCTAGCCACTAGATTAAGATTTTTAGGTGAGGTTTTTCATTAGTTCCTTCACAACAATCTATGAGATAAGATAGATAAGTAAATATGTAGAGATGTTAAGTAATTTACCAGAAATATGTGATGTTTTAAATATGACATCTAAAAGTAATATCTAGCCAGGCTGGTGGCTCACACCTCTAATCCCAGCACTTTAGGAGGCTGAAGCAGAAGGGTAGCTTGAGGATAGAAGTTCGAGACCAGTATGGGCAACATAGTGAGACACTGTTTGTACAAAAAAATTTTTTTTAATTTTTAAAGTAATATCTAGAAGAATTGAAAGAAGCTAGTATTTTAAAAACATAAAATGCCTGGCACTGAATAACAGTGTTGTTTCATTTGCCTTTCATGATAACCACCTCAAAAATGGGTATTATCCTTGTCTTATACTAACCCAGAGCTTAGCAGTTAACTTGCTCAAAGTCACAGTGCTAATAATAAGAGCCTGGCTATGTGTGTCTCTCCTTTTGGGCATTCCATGTTCTGCACTAAGAAGTTCTCTGCTTGGCCAGAGTTCAGGCCACAGTCAGAATATTCCTGTCTGGCCTCCTACACAGTTTGTTCCAGTCTCACCTCCCAATTGGACATTTACATCTTTGACTAAATTTTCCAACCATTTTCTAGAATCATTCTCAGCTTCCATCTGAGGTGTACAGTCAGGACTCACTTGTTTGCACAAAACAAACTGATCTGAGAAAACAGGGAAGGAATTGCCTCACATCAGAAAAGTCTGAAAGTTGTAGCTGTAGGCATGTCTGGATCCAAGAAATCTAAAAATGTCAGATGTTTCTTCTCACCACCCTCCCCAGACACCCCTGTTCCCCTTTCCTGTGGTTGGCTACACACTCAGTAGGTCACATCTATGCAGTAGAGCTTGGTAGTGCCAGGCAAACACTGTATGGTTTAGCAGCTCTAGTGGAAAGATAATGTCTCTTCCCTAATTGTTTCAGAAGTCCCAGAATTATAGTTCATTGGTCTGGCTTAGGTCATGTGCCCATCCATGAACCAAACACTGTTGAAAGGAGTGAATGATATTCTGTTTAGCCAGGTCTAAGTCCCTGCCCAACTGGGACCCCCATCCAAACCACTGAGACAAGAGTGGGGAGGATTCCCCTGGAAAGAGTTGGGATACTGTTATTAGAAGAAAGTAATGGATGCTGGGAAGGTAAAAACGTGTATGATGGGATGGCTGCATCCTCCATGCTTTGATCTCTCCTGGACTTGGGGTAGATACAAGCAAGTTTCAGGGTAACAACCATTTTGGGATCAGGTTGGTCCAGGACTTTGGGTACAGACTATGGAAAAAGGGTTTTAAATTAGGAGTATTTAAGGCAGGGCATGGTGGCTCATGCCTGTAATCCTAGCACTCTGGGAGGCCGAGGAGGGAGGATTGCTTGAGATCGGGAATTTGAGAACAGCCTGAACAAAAGCGAGACCCCTATCTCTATTAAAAATAGGAGAAATTAGCCAGGCGTGGTGGTGTGTGCCTGTAGTCCCAGCTACTCAGGAGGCTGAGGCAGAAAGATTGCTTGAGCCCAGGAGTTTGAAGTTGCTGTGAGCTAGGCTGACGCCATGGCACTCTAGCCCGGGTGACAGAGTGAGACTCTGTCTCAAAAAAATAAAAGAAAAAGAAAAAAAAATTTAATTGGGAGCATTTAAATTTGTGCTCAGGTCACCTGACTCCCAGTTTGTAACCCA